AGGACTGACAGCTCTGCTGTACTGTGGAGAACAGAGTTCAGTTGGATCTCTCAGCCCAGTTGGCAGAACTGAGAGCGTCCGTCGGGCGCTCGCAGTTCGTGGGACGTTTCGGACGGACCGTCTCCGTTTTTGTCGCCCGGGGTGGATGGCCTGTGACCGGTGGCGGTGGCCGCTGCACTCAAGGCCGGATGAAGCCGGAGGACAGCCTGTATGGGCGGCCGGCTGCCAGTTCACGCACTGGGCAGCACCCAGAGCGTGAAAGCACGCACACGCCAATAACAGATGTTTGCAAGGTGGAAAACATGCATTGAGCGGCCAATACTTACCACCAAAGTTGTTCCACAAGGAGAGAGTGGGCGAGTTGTGTAGCAGCATACATGTCTGAACGAACTTTATGTGTAGAACTAAAGATATCATAATGGCTAGAGAAAATCATAGGCGTCATGTTTTGAAACATCTCTGGCTCATCGCTTGCCTAAATCAGACATCATCGGAGCGGTGCTGTGAGGCCGTCAGGAGCTGATACTCGCTGTCACGTCTCAGTTTTGTAGCCGGCCTGAAATTCCCGTAACCAATAGTCAGCCGTGCGGACTAGACGTCGATCTAATGAAATCGGTCCGACCGTCAGCGGCATACGACTCAGAGCCGACCGTGCTCGCTGTTCGTGACTGCTCGTACCCGGTGACAGCCGCTGATGGCTCGGCCCGGCCGCTGGGAGCGCTCACCGGCTAAATTTGTCCCCCGCCGCCGACGCAGGCTTTTAACAGCTCTACACCGGAGAGACACCTTTACCGCCTCCGGAGCGGGCGGCTGAATCCGTCCAGCGCCCGGGAGCGGGTCACGGCAGGCGCTGACGGCTGCTGGCCTGTAAGTGCCTCGCGCGCTGCCCTTCCTGTGCCGGCGTCTCAGGCCACCGCAGGACGGCGTGGTGCCGGCGGGGCGGTGCCGTTGTTGGACTCTGTGGGCGGCGGCTTCAGCGCCCCCCCCCCCCTCCCCTGCCTCCTGACCTCTGGCGCTGTCGGGTATGATTGACTGACAGCCGGGCTGGCCGCCGCGCGCCGCCCCGGTCAGGGCGGCCGCCGCTGGCACACTGGGCAGGAAGCGATCGGCTCGCCCGTCTGACTGTTTTCCAGCGTCGTGACCGGCCGGCCACGTGTGGCGAACGGCAGCCCGCCGTCTGCTCGGTAGCCGGGCTGTCACGGTGCCGGAGCGTGGGAGACTCACGGCGGCCGTGGGAGCGGGAGTGGTAGTGGAACTCGCTCATTCACCGTGTCAGTCCCGTGGCTCTGGCGCGGGGTGGGCGCGCCCATGGGATCGTGTAGCTGCTGGAAATAGTCGTCCGTCGCCACAGAGGGTGCCTGTTCGGCTGTCGCGTCTCGTGTTCGCTTGGCGCACAGCCGTGACTCCCCGACAGGCAGGCACGGCTTCCACTGGCACGGACCGCGTGCGCCGGACCGGCCTGGTATCTACAGTTAACGCACACATCGGGAAAATCGGACTTGTATTTTAATGACCGTATGGTTGATGCTTAGTGATACGGATTAGTTGAACAGTGCCGCTGATTCTCGTTTGAAATAATTCGTTCACCCAAAGCGAGTATCCTTACCTATTTAGAATTATCTATTGACTGGAAAACTGGACTTGGACAGTCGCTGATCACCCAAAGCACCAGCCTAAGGTCCGATATTGCAGCCCTGTTTCCTGGCCGAGCGCATGGCTTTGAGTTCATCCCAAGGACACGATTTGGGTTGTCGTGCGCGCCGTGGTCGGTATATCCTGTTGTATCCGCTGCTGGACAGCCTCCTGATCGGACTACCTGCAGTGCGACGGGATTGGTTACGGCGGCCGGGCTCGTGCTCGCTCCGCGAGGCCCGGCCCGGCGTGCTCGACCCGGCTGGATGTGACAGTCCAATTTCGGGGACCACGCGGGCCGTTCGTACAGCATTATAAGGCGCCGACGTGGAGTCGTGTCGCTACTGAAAATCGACGGCTAGTCGTGGAGACGCGGCAACTCGTTCCTGCCTGAATATCCATGGCATATTTATACACACTTTTCAAGTGGCCTTTCTTTGGGGATGGGGATCAAAATGAAATGTTCTACGTCTCCTACAAGCACCTGCTTGGGCTCATGGATATTGTACGTCGAACACGTTTTCTTATCCGCGACCCCAAAGCAGTTGTTTCCTCACTGTACGATCGTACAGCCCCTGTTCTCATCTCCATTGTGGTAGCTCGTTTTCATGATTGTTTGTTTTTGGCTATCAGACGGCTATTGCAATTCAAGTAGCGGCGTTGGACGGGTTGGCTGCCCCGATGGCCGCTGCTGTAGCACGGCCTATAGCTGCGGTGATAATACCAATCGGACAAGGCGACACGTGGTGACATGCGACACCTCTGCTGCGTCCGCCGATGGTGCATTGTTGTACGGTGAATACCGTGTATTGTGCCTGGTGGGACGGCGTACACTGCGGACATGTCAGTGAATGCAGGACACGTGCACCGAACACGTGCTGTGCCGCTACTTAGAGCCCCTATCTGCTGCGGCAGCCGGCTGCAGTGCATGACACCGCCGCCGGGCCGGTCGCCAGAGGCCGTCTAGGCGCCGGGCCTTTATTATATGCGGTGAACTGAGCCAATTACAAACGCCTGTCAGCGGCGCGTCAGATGTGTTCCGGTTCACTGGGCCGGTCTGCTTGCCGAATAATGTGCCCGGGGGATGTGAGCTGGCTTCGCCGGCCGCCCCGCCGTCGTTTCGACTGTCACTCTGCCGTCTTTGAGGTTGGACGCGCCCGCTGTTGGGACCGGGTGAGGTGGCTGTTTTGTGTGGTACGTTTTTGGTACCCATCTCGCTGAGACTGAGTTCTGGCATATCGCTAGATCGTGATATGTAAAATGGCTGGGGGTTTCTCTGTCTGATCTAGTCTGTGACATCATTCCTTGGGTTGTATCACAGATGTAGGCACGATGCCTGATTGTGGCAAAAGCGTCTTCAGGATAGCTGATTGTGTCACGCATTGCCGCATAAATCCTACCTGTTCTTCGCCCCCTCTCCCTATGCACACACAGCCATCCGCAGTTCAACGATCTGACCGATGCAAGCTCGCTGAACGGACTGACACCCTGCTGGGAACCGTCTTCACGGCCGCAATAGTTGAACAGCCTAGCTGGGTCTATGATGGAGCCGCCGATGCGCTCGTTTCCGCTGTGCCGATATGACAGAGAGCCTCTTCCCCCTCCCCAGCTGTCCCTCGTTCTGCCCCACCGTGTCCGGGACCCTGCAGAGGTGGCTGACTTTGCTGATCGAGTGCCCGGCTCGGGGGCACTCATCGGTTCTGACTTCTGAGTGGTGTGTCCGCTCCCGGGAATTTCGTATACGGGATTGTGGTGAGTCTGATGCAATGACACAGAGGTCGGTTACACAGCATGATGTATACAGGGTGGGGCAGCATAATCGGGAATAAATATCAAACGGGATTATTTGGTCATGAATTTAAAAATATAGCTCCAAGCACTATTTTAACAACATCCCATCAATCGGTCACCTTTTACCTATCCCTCATCCTATTTGACCGCCCTTCGCGTCGATGACCTTCTCAAGGCGGGTCCAAAAGCACGCGCATGCACGTGCAGCCTCCTGCTTGTCCATGATCGCCCATCAGCTTCGTACCTTGCACTGAAGACCGTTTTTACTGATGATAAGTTGTTCATTAAACTTCTACCAAAAAACGCTCCATATAAAGAATTTGGTCGGATTTAAATCGGCGGAGTTGAAGGACCAGAAGTTTTTGGTTCATCTCAGGTGGAGGTGCCCTACACAATAACATGTCGTCCTCACTGCAGTACCAGCACGGACAGAGTCCTCGTAAGACGTGATCTGGACCGTCAGTGATCCTCTCTTCCGACGACTCCACGTGAGTCTGCCAGAGTGTGGATGTATTTACCAGAGGTGCTCGTTTTATCCGGGCTCGATGAAGTAGGGTGCACCACGTGCACCTCCCTTGAAGACCACCCATAGGTCCATCACCTCAACAGGATGTTTACTTTGCATGACCGCTGCAATATTCTCGATACAATCCCCTATATGGCATGCCATTCTTTTTTATCGTATTCCAGTCGGTGATAAGATTTTTGGTCGCTGAAGTTTTGAACATTGTTTCTTTTTAATATGCTCAAGAGCTTCTTCCTTATATTCAAGTGAGTCATCTTGTATGTCCTCTGCTAAGAGTTATTTTACGACGATTACGTTAACTTTTTGTCCTAAGTATCCCCACACAATCCTTATCGTCCGTGATAACACGTTGACCTGTCCAGCAACCTTTACGTGGAATGGCATTGTTTTAAACAAAATGTTCTTGTTTTACTCGTTTAACATTAGTGTCTATGGGCGCGCGCAAAGCACTTGGAGCACCGTCGAACTATTTTGCTGCTCTTTTCCAGGAAGTTGCATGCTCATGGATGTAGTCATGTCAGATGATGCACAACTTTTGGGCGTTTCATTGCCATGATATAATTTATCAAAATAATGCCATGCCTACTCATGACCAGAGCCCAAAAAGCATTCCCGATTATGCTGCCCCACCCTGTAGTTGGGGTGTGGAACAAGGCGCACTTGACCGCAAGCTGTTAATGTTTCTCACTTATTGAATCGGAAGCTGTTGCTATCCTGGACTCCGCTACCCGTCGAAAACACGGCTACTTTCGTTCTTGGAACCCGGATTCTGCGAGCGTGATTGTTGAAACCGGGTGGTTCAGTACTCGCTTTCATTTATCTCTTGGGACAATGCCCCAAAAGTTTGGGTTTGAGTGCCCTATGAAGCGCTCGTTAGCTGCCGTTGCTGAGAGCCGGGGTTCGACAGCCCCCGCCCACCCCTCTGCCGAAGTCGGGCGCCGCCTCCGCGCGGTAGTTCACTCGTCCGCCTGTAGATGGCTCTGGGGTGGCCGATCGGTGGTGCCCGGCCGGCCGGCCGCCGGGGTACGGGCGGGCAGGCGGCGGCGGCGGAGCGACGGCAGACGTGTGTCGGAACGTCGACGGGAAGGGCGGCCAGCGACCGGTGGACCGCGACGACCCGACCTGACCCGACCCGACCTGACGTGACCGGATCGGACTGTGAGCTGCACCATGGGGGTGGCCGATACCGTGCACCGCTCTGTCACCTGTCCGCCGAAGAAGAAATGGATCAACGCTTACAAACAAGGTACCCACTTGGCTGGATGTGGTGTTCAAAGGGGGATGATTTGGGCTTGGGATAGATGATTTTTGGTTTGTTTTGTTCGGTGAAGAGAAGCTCAAGCTTTCGTCTCACTCACCACCTATGCTTCTTGCCTACAAGTCCCTCTTTTTTCGTGTTGTGTTGGAAAAATGTGAAAATTGACTTACCTGCTCTTTGCATTTTGGTTTAAGATATTTATCTTCAACTTTTCTCTATTTGCAAATAAAAACACCATTTTATATCGTGCCGGCTTATCGTGCTGAGACTGCTCTTGCTAGGCCTTTTGAGCTACCTATATTGTGATTTTTGTTTGTTTTCGTACTAAAAAAGAAAACAAAGAAGCATAGCAAACCACATGATGTAGTTGGATCTGTCCGCCGAAGACGCGGTGCCTTCCTGTCGTCCTGCTGACACCGCACACAACGCGGCGGTCTTATCACGGTTTAAATGCCACCCGACGCGCCACCCGCTCGCCCTGGCTCCGCTCGCCCCGGCTCCGCGCGCCCTGGCTCCGCTCGCTGCGGGTCTGCTCCCCCTGGTTCCGCTCGCTGTAGGTCCTCCCGCTGTCGGGGAGCTCCCGTGTTCCGCGGTGCTCCGCTGCCGTCTCCTCGCCGTGCGGATGTTGTTGAGCCGGCCGATGACGTGTGCCGCGCTCGGCGATGACGCCGCTGGATGACGTCATCTCACCAGCCGCCGCCGGGCCGGTCGCAGACGCTGTTTTTTACCCGTCGCTGCTCGGGCCGTGTTTCTCAACCGGCGCCGCGTGGTGCACCGGTTATCGGTCAGAGCCGGGCCGTGTGAGACACGCGGGGGTCAGCCCCCGCCCCCGCCCGTCGGACAGTGAAAGTTGGAGCTGCACTCGGCCGGCTGAGCTGCCGGGCCCGGCCGGGCCTGACCCGGCTCGACGACCGGCCCGGGGCGCTCGGTAACCGACGCCCCCCCCCCCCTCTCCCACCGGGCCGGTCGAGTTTGGCGCCGGCCATCAGATCGGTGGGCGCCCATCAGATCTGTCCCGTCATCGGGAGACGAACCAAGGCACGGGGACGTCAGTGCCGAACGCACTGCCGCCGACCGGCCGTCGTCAGGGGCATTGTTCTCCGCCGATCTGATGCATCTGTTATTGGAGTCGGCCCGTGGCACCCGGTCAGCCAGCCATACTTGGCGTGAAGAAGGGTACCGACCGTCTCGGTGCCGGACAGGGTACCGACGGCACGTCAGGAGAAAAAGACCAGGGGCGCCGCCACGCTTTTATGAGCACTACGTACACCCGCATGCAGGTTAGTGGTAGGCTCAGGCACGACACCCGGGGTGGGATGAAAATTTTCCCAAGTTCCAAGGTGCCTATTTATAACATCACCAAAACCTGAAAACTCTCCGGATTCGTCCCACTGATTGTCGAGAAGTCAACATTTTCATTAAAAATAATACAAAATGAGTAAAACGAATGATCTAATAAACATCCACCTGACCAAGGGAAAGACGGCTGTCCCTGCCGTCCCTCCCTTGGCTTCGAACCGATTGCAGTCTGCAGAATGATGTATGTAGTTACAGTTGCACTTACACTATGGGGGCCTGGTGCAGAAGCATGCCTTTCCAGCCGGCGAGTTTGTGATGGTGAAAATTTTCTTCGGGACCACCTTCATAAATAGCAATTTCGACTGTTATTTGAAAAGATTTGTACCTACAACTATTCTGTAGTCAGATTAATCCGAAGTCCTACTTAATCCTTTTGTCTGTTTAGTCGAAATGGCTTGAATACAATAAACAAAACAAAGCAACTCAGATTCAGACTCTGTATTTTCATGTTACCTATACACTGCCTTTCTGAAGTTGTAAGACTCCTAATGGATACTAGGTCCTGCAAGGTTCATTTCCCTGTGAAAGCTCCTCTGGGAGTGAGGGCGTTGCAAAGTTGCGACATCTGAAGACCGTGCAGAGGTTCACTTTTGACTTCATAGGTCAGTGACCTGATCTGACCCGAAAATGCGGTTGGTGTCAACAGATCCGGCTTGATTCAAAGGGCAGGTATGCCTAGCTTCAGTTCTCTATCACCGGCGTGTTCGGAGCTATCGCGAAAAAAAAACTATGGAGGGGCGGCACCCGCCTCCCCCCCTCGGCCGGCGAGGGTTAAGAATCTCAGAGACCAGTACAGGGCCTGCAAAGGGCAGTTTGAGACGTTTAGATGCCGACTTGGGCCATCAGAGGCTAATGTGGGTCCTTACAGGCCATCATGGGCCCTCAGAGGTCAGTGTGGGACCCTAAAATACCTGCATGGGCTTACCGGCATGGGAAAATACCGGCACGGGATCTGAGGGCCCGCAGTGCGGGGCCTTCAGATCCCATGCCTCAGATCCCATGCTCAGAGGCACCTAAAGGTTAGTCTTGGGACCCCAGAGACAGAAATGATGTCACCAGAGGCCGGAGTGAGGCCCTCAGATGCCGGCTGGGCCCTTGAGGCCGGTTTAGGGGCCCTCAAATGCCAGTGGAGGGCCCTCAGAGGTCAATGTGGGTTCTCATCCCTCAATGTGGGCGCTTGACCGCCACTGAAAGGCCCTCCGAGATCAGTGTAGGACCCTCAAAGACTGGTATGGGAGCTGTTAATAGCTGGCGTGGGTTTCTTGAGCCTCGTGACAATCGAATAAGGGCCAGAGCCCCATACACCCATGGGGGCCCTGCCCATTGGTTGTTTGGGGGGGGGGGCAAAAAGATATGATGGCCCCCTGATTAGCCTTTGGAGGGGGGAAGGGCATGGTCCTGATCCCCCTCTGCGACCGCCACTGCACTGAAAGTGCGAAGGGGGAGGGGCAGATACCCACAGACATTGCTGGCCCCCAGCCTGTTTGAGCCGAGGCAGGGAGCACGGTAACCCTGGCCCCCAGCTACTACGCCTGTGACGGACTATGCCGACTCCAAGCAGATCCGGTCAAGCGTTGGTCGTTTGTATACGCATTCTCCTGCACCTTACTAGTATTGTCTTATTCCTTTTCAGTGCCCGCTCATGTCCCGCGTCTCGTATTCAACAAAATGCTGCCACCAGGACTCACAGCTTTGTCTCTGATATGGTTTCCTTCATTGAGTGAAGGAAATTGCGGTCAATAACGCTGTAGAAACTAAAGGGAATCTTCATTAAAGGGCAGGTTGAATAGTCGTCAAGTTCTGGTGTTTAGGGTACCGGGTGGTAGGTACTTACAGACAGACACTAAAGTCAGCAAAAAATGGGGGGGCCAGTTAACATTGCTGGCCCCCCACCTCCGAAACTGGGGGGCCATGCCCCCCCCCCCCGGCCCCCCCTGTTCCTACGCCTATGGTCAACGGACGCGTCGAAATAAACAACTTCTAGCACTCCACTCTTCTACTCTGCAGATCTGAGATCACTACCACCTTGCTGATCTTGCTACCACCCAAGCCCTATATCATTATGAGCAACCAATCATTCACAAAGGCCTCTACACCAAGGCCCTAAAACTCTACACCACGCTCGGCGCTTGCTCGGCGCGGTTCATTCCCATGGTTGAGCCCAGGGCACTAAAGAGTCCAAGTTGAGCCCTTTAGACTCTTTATTGCCCTGGTTGAGCCAAGCCGCCAAGCTTCCTAGTTGTTATGGCAACAAGAGCGTACCTTATTTTTTAGCAGTTCAAAATGACAAATGTAATTTTGGTATGTCAAAACTGGTCAAAACAAACTGAAGTTTGGTGACTTTTTCAATAATAAAACTTTTCAAAAAAACGTAATTAAAAACTTTTTTAAATAAATTAACTATTTTTCACATTTTGAGCAGTACGTACTGTACGTAGTGGATTTCCAAGTCAAAAATTGCACTACGTACAGTGTACGTACTGTACGTAGTGGTGGCGGCGCCCCTGAAAAAGACTGATCTCGGCAGTGATGGCAGTTGGACGCGCTGTCGCTCCGCGCCTCTCTCTCTCTCTCTCTCTCTCTCTCTCTCTCTCTCTCTCTCTCTCTCTCTCTCTCTCTCTCTCTCTCGCTCTCTCGCTCTCTCGCCGCCTGTTTCGGCGGCGGCGGCCGGACCGGTTACGACATGGTCACCCCGGATCAATGGCCGGACTGACCTTGATGTCGCGGGCTCCGACCACTCGGCCGCTCCGTGACGCCGGGCAGAGAGGCAGCCGTGACCTCGCCAGCTGACGAAAACGCCCCGGGCGTACCTACTGGGACGGTCACGCGCGCGACGGGAGAGCGGCGTCTGAACCAGGCCTGTGGGCTGGTCAGTTGGCCACGGGCATTACATTACGTTGGTCGGACTAGAGAAACGGGCATGCTGGGGGATGGAATGTGGGATGTTTTGGGATTGTGGAGCGGTATGTAGATGAGATGCGGTTACCTATAGGACCTATAGCCTATATCTCTACCTACCTATAGGACGGTAGATTGCCCCTGTAATTGGGCCTACGTAATCTGCTTGGGTTGTTACGCGTAAGGCAGATAATTAGGCGGTAGGCTGAAAGTGAAGGAAATGTTCGATGGATGATGCCCTGCTCCTGCTGGTGCCCTGAGTGCATCATGTACTGACAACGGCGATAAAGTACGAGAGGTAGTGTAAGATACCGCCCGTCGGCGGCCGCTGAGTAAGTGCCGATACACCACCCCCGCAGTCCGCACCTGCACCGGTGGCCGGTCGAGTGTGTTGACTTTTGACATACACTGCTTCCTGTGCCGGTCCGCCGCTGACGTGAGAAGGATCCTTTCCCAGTTCGATAGAGACTCCTCCGCACGGCGCACCTCCATGCGAGGGTTAGTCCCGCGCTTTTCCGAAAACTCCCCTCCTTTTCCCCCTCCAGGAGCCATTCTTTCACCATGCGATGTCAGGTTTCACTCTCGTCGCAATTCCATTTCCGTCTTCGACCGAGAGTCACGCGAAACATAACTGTGTGACTGATTGGGTGACATGTTGCATGACCGGTATCATGTGTCTCCGGTGACACTTCTGGTGCGTCACGTGACACCGAGTACGTGACACGTGCCACTTGCGACACGTGAGGCGGCGGCCCGGTTTGGTGCCGGCGCCCCCGCTCGCCAAGTGTTTCGTGAGGTGCCTGACAGCGCGACACGAATCGTTCACCTGGCTCCAATAGCTCGTTTTTTGTCGACCCCGATCGTTGCCCGGGGTGCGTTGCGTTGACATGGACTCTCCCACAGTGATGAAACCCGTCTGGGTCGGGCGGGGAAGGGTCGGCGCGGCGCGTTCGGCCGCTCGCGGACGGGTGAAATGTATCCCGGTGACCTCCGCTGTCCGGTCACTAGCGGCGGTACGGACGGGTCGGAGCCGGACCTTGCCGCTGTTTATGTCGGCACGGCCGTCCTCCGGCCGACGGCCCTCAATGGCCGAGATTCTCCGATTGTAAACAGTTCGAGGAAATGTCGCGGCGTGGGCCGTCACCGGCCGCACGCCTGTCCGTTAGAGATAGCACCCGCGCTACGGGGAAGGGCAGGTCTCGGGCCCGCGACGAATGTGATGTGTGGAACTGCGTGGTGCTTTTTGAACTCGGTGAGGTGTTCATGTCTGTCTGTGTGCGTCTGTCCGTGTTCAGGTAACCGTGATTACCTATCGTGTCGGTGGGTGACGTCGTTTTCCTGTCTGCCGCAGATGAGGACAGCCGTGATGACGTCTCTTTCGCGCCGGCGGGGCGTCATCAGGCGCCGGTGCCGCCATCAGCGCGTCACCAGCCGGGGGCGCCGGCCGTCACCCCGCCGCCGCCCCAGCGCAGCCCGCGCACTCCCTCGGCGTTCATCGCCACCCACCACAGCTACGTGCGCACGTCGGGCGCGGTGGCGGCGCCGGCCGGGCCGCCGGCGGCGCCGCAGCCGGCCGCCCACCCGCCCCCCTCGGCCGGCGCGGCGGCGGCGCTGTCGCACCGCTCCGCCGTACAGCCGGGGGCCGCGCATGAGCACCGTAATGGCGTACTGCCCATGGCGCCGGCGCCGCCGGCCGTGCCCACCTACCGCTACGACAGCTCTGATGACATCCAAGACAGGAAGGGCCGCGTCAGGTCAGCGGGGGACGCGCGTGGGCTCCGGTCACGGATAGGTCATGGGAGCCCTGGGGTATAATTACAAGGCTCACCGGGTAGAAGAAGGGGTTGAGAATGACTAGTGAGAGAACTTTACTCATTTTTCATAAGAGAAGTGTTATTTGATTCTACAGATTGTTCATGCTGCCTGAAATAATTATTCATTATGCTTATGTTACCGGTGGCTGTCACTTTCGCGATCTTCTGGCAACTGATGACGCATTTGATCGTCTTTGCTCTGCGCCCATCCGTCCGCTCTGCTCAGCTCATGTGTTGTACCACTCACGTGTTATCTTTTAATGACGATGCCAGTGAGAGCGAGAGCGCTTACCACGTGGCGGCGTCTTTTCCGCGAGCTGGCAATCTCGGCTCGTCTTACAGGAGCGGTCCCGTCCGCTGGCTGCCGCCCCGTGACTCGTCGGCGTCCGTACCGGCACCGGTGCCTGACGGTGTACTGAGAGTGACCCCACCCTGCCCGCAGTGCCGGCACCCGCGAGGTCCACAACAAACTGGAAAAGAACCGCCGCGCCCACCTGAAGGAGTGCTTCGAGAACCTGCGGCGGCAGGTGCCCGTGCTGGATGAAAAGAGAACCTCCAACCTGGGCATCCTGCGCGGCGCACTGCGCTACATTGGGGTGAGTTTTGAACTGCATCTCTATCAACCCCCTTCCCCTCCCCGTCCCCCCGAGCACCGTCACAACTCCCTGTTGCTGGCTGGAATTATAAACTCCGTAGGTTTAATGGCATTTGCACGGTCCTCCGCCAACCTGTGGTGACATTTCCTGGCCGTGACAAATTCATCTGGCTCCGCCTGGCCGAGCCGGCTGACGTCGGGTGACGTGGCGGATCAAGTGAGGCGCCGTTGAGGAAGTTCATGTCCCTGATAAAGTTTGCATATCATCTGGAACGGCGTAGACTGAGAACTCTTGGATGGCTGGTGGCGGGAAGAGGAGAGGGTACGTTGGTCTGAGATTGGTCTGAGATTGGTGGACGATGGACGGTGGACGCCCGACGGTGGGCGGGGCGCTGGCAGGCCGTCCTGGCGCCCCTTCTGTTGGTCCGGCCGGCCCGAGGCAGGGGGTCTGTTTGCTGGCACGGCGCCGTGCCGATGCGTGCCGCACCGCGCCGGTGGCCCATTTTCTGAGGCACACAGTCGGCGGTGCGCCGGCGGCGACGGTGCCAAATGGTCGCCGCTCGGACTGCCGTCTCCTCTGAGCAGCCGTAGCCCCTAACCCGTGATCGAACCAGCGTCTAACCGTCGCCGTCCCAACCTCTAACCGTCACCGTCTCAATACCTTGTCCCAGCACCGTCCCAACACCCTGTCACAGCCCCTAACCGTCACCACCGACCTACAGCCGGCACTGGCATCAGGAAAGACCGTAGACACGCCGAGGAAAGGGAAGTGGTGAATGACGTGACTCCCGCTTCTCGGAAAACCACAGTCCTTTGAAGTGAATGAATGGCCATGCTGTAACGGTGGATACCGCCAAAAACTGTCCATTTTTTCTTGTGGATGGATGAAGGGCTAACAGCGAAGACAATCACGGGTATGATTTTTCGCCCAGCGTTGACCTCCTGTTGAGGCTGTATACCTAGATCCGGCATTCCGCTTCAGGTTGATTAGGTTTGGTTGGTTTAACGAAAAGAACTTCCCCGATTTCCTTCAGCGGCACGGATATTCCTCCATTCTGATGATTGCTTCTATCGATGTTCAAACATGTTAAATAATTTATGGTTATTTCGTTTGAATATCATCACTTGCTTCATGCATAAGCTGTTGAAAACCACAACTATACCTATGCGTACTTTTCATATCCGTATGGGCACTAACGGCATATGTATGTACTACGCAGTATGTAGCAGTTTTTTATATGAAAGCTACTTTGTTTTCTGCACTTTGAATTGTTTAATGTTCGAAGCTTTAGCAATGTTCTGTAAACATTCGTTTTTCCAGCGTCAATTGCAAAGGTTTATTATATTTGAAGTAAATGTCGGTGGTACCTAATTTCTTGTCCGCTCACAAACCTTGCGCTAATGAGAAACTGCGCGCAATATGGGGAACGTCCCTGTAAAGGACTGGGGGCTTTATTACCCAACTTCAGTCGTAGTGGATAGACGTAGGCTGGAGATGTATGTTTAGCCCCGTCTATTATATAAGCCCGGACAGGGAATATCTGGATAGATTGGCTTTTTTGCTGGTATGTGCTTATCTTTCGCTGAGCGCTCTCGTCCGCTTTCATCAGTGAGATGCAACGCGAGGCGGCGCCGGCCAGCTCCGTAACAGCGGCGGATACTGTGTGGCGCAGCCGCCCGTTCCAGCTCGCTCTGCCGCCGGCGCGGTGCCCCGTGACGAGACGGTTACGTGTCTGGCTGCCGACACGTGCTGGCCAGATCACATTGCGCGCTCTCACTGGACGGACCGGCACCGGCGCTGCGTGATGCTGGCGCCGCGTGGCGGCGTGAGGCTCCTGTCACGGGCCGCGTTGCTGCTGGTGTTGGTCTGGCGCTGAGCAGATACGGTGCGCGATATTTGAACATAACGAATGCGTGCCTCGTTAGTGACACACCACAGACCGACGCCCCGAATGTCGCCCCACCAGCCGCAAAGGTCGGAATCCGGTGCAGCTGAGTTGCAGCTGATTGCGTCGCCGTCGCCAGGGGAGGGTGGGAAGGGGCTCAGGCTCACTGCCGGCACATACCGGCTATACCTCCCCTCCCTCGCCCCCCCCCCCCCCGGCCGGCTCCGTCTGTGAGCCGCCCGGACCGGTTGACGCCGCTCAGCCGGCGGCCGGTCCGGGCCGCGCGGCCGGCACGTGACCGTGTCTAGGTCAGTTCGGCCCGCGGGCGGCGACGGCGGCGGCGGCGGCTGGTAACGATCGCGCGCCGCGCGCCCGGGCCCGCTCACGGCGCCCGGATCAATGGCCCGGGCGGACGCGGACGCTCACCCTCTCCAGCCGCCGCGCCGCCCAGACGGCCGCCCGACATCGATTGGCGCGCCGCTGGAGGCGGCTTCTCTCTCCTCTCCTCTCTTCTTGCCTCTCCTCTCCTCTCCTCTGTCTCTCGGCCGGCCGTGGCTGGCGCTCGCCGCCCGTCGCGCTCTGTCGTCTGCCGCTAACCTACCGCCGAATCACCAGGCCCGCCGCAGTCCGTCGCACGAACGGCGGGCTGGGAACGGCGGCCGTAACTCGACGGTTGCGCAACGAGCGTCTGATGGCTGCGCGCGTACCGTGCAAGTGTCGGCCGCTCACGTTGTGTGCCGCCGTTGGATGTTTGCGTCGGAGGCTCGCAGTGCAGGCCGAGTCTGTGCGTCAGAGGCGCGCTGTCTGGGTTTATCGAGTGCCGCGTGATACAGCGGTGGGCAGGGGCGGATTTGGGCCTATGACGACTCTTTGTATTGGTGCCCTGGCATACACCCCCCCCCCCGACCACTGCCCCCCCCCCATTCTGAGGTCTGGCGGCCGGCCGACCGAGATATCGGTCGATGGGGAGGGGGGAGGGGGAGGGGGGCGGTCACACGGTCCGGCATGCCGCCGCCCGGTGCCGAGGCTCGGTCGGGAGAGAGTTGAGAGGGACCCTCGAACTCTGCCTCCGACGCTGGCTGCAGCCTGTTTGTCGGCACGTCTATTGACGGAGCGCCGCGCTGCCATCCTGCGTGAAGATAATCAGCGGCTCGGAGCAGGCTGGCGCCGCCCCTGGCCGCGTCCGGGGCGGGGGCGGGGCGGTGAGGTACGGCCGACCTGCCGCGAGTGCACGCGTCCCGCACTGCGCCACACTCAGACACCGGGAATGCCACCGGCCGCCGGCGGGCGGGGCGGGCTTGTTTGCAGCGCTCGGGGGGGGGGGGGGGGGCAGCAGCAGCGGCTGGAGCGGGGTACTGGGGCCGACAGCGGACCCATTGACCCCGCGAGCTGCTGCCGGTCGAAGGCGGCCTCGACTGGAGGGGCGGCAGCGCTACACCGCATTGTCTTTCTCCATCTGTCTAGCTATGTGTCTTAGGCTGTCTGCCTGCCCTTCTGCAGGTGTCGGTTTCCCATGTTTTCCACCCGGCCCCTCTGCGGTCAGCCCAGCTCCATCGCCGCCTGACCGAGTGACGAAGTCGGCCTTGACGTTGTTTGATAATACCCAGCGGTGACGGGACGCCGCCCCCGTCGGACTCCGACCACCGCCGCCGCACGTGCTCTCAGTGCACGTGACGGGGGTGGTGCTGCGCCGCGGGGCATGTGCTAACGAGCTGTGTCCGAAGGGCGGGCGGGGGAGCTCGCAGGGCTGGCTCTCGGATCTGGGTGTAATGACGAGCGACTAGTTAGTATGTAGTGTTAGCAGCTGGCGGGGTAGTGGGCGGCCAGCTCTCTGTGTTTGTGTCCGCCCTCTGCGCTGCGGGAGGGGGGCGTACCACACCGAGCTGGGGCGGGGCGCAGGGGAGGGGGCGCCTGGCAGTGCATGGCAACGGGTGCGTCAGGTGCGCCCAGTGCGCCCGGTCGTCCGCCGGCGCCCGGTGACCTTCACGGGGCCGATCGGCGCCCACGGTCGATTTGTGGGTCGCGCCGGTGGCGCCTCTGGTGGCGGCGCGCCCAACTAGCGCCGCTCGGGCGGTGGCGAGCACGTGACTGGGCGCTCATGCCCACGCGGTCGGCGGCGGCGGCGGCCGCTGATTGGTGGACGGTCGGCGCGGGCGGCACCTGATTGGTCGGCACGCCGTGGGGGCGACCGTGGCGCCGCGTGGAAATAGCGGGGCGGCGCCGCCGGTGGCGGGCTGCCAGCGCGGCTCGGAGCACGCGAGCTGAGCTGGCCACCGACGGGGGAGGGGCGGAAGGAGGGGGGGGGGGGGGGGGACCGACAGCCCAGTGGCCGTCGGCGAGCTGCCACATCGGCGCTGTTATGTAACTGGACAGACAACGACGCGCAATATTGGCCCGAGTCAGCGGCTCGTTGGCGATATGCAGACAGGGATGTGGCTGGGCCCGGGGGCGGACGGCTCGTCGAGTTCCGACAACAGTGACATCACCCTCCGATCAGCTCCACCACCGGCCGAGCTGGCGGCTGGCACTGTCAGACTGGCTCACTGAACGCGGCGGAACCGTAGCGGACGTATGATGTATGCAATGCATACACCGGCAGTTCCAACACCCAGACAGGAACTGGAGCGGTGATGTGAAAATAGATTTCGTTCGCCCCAGTGAATGAGGTCCGCCCTATCTTTAGCGGCTCAATGATGGCTGCTATAAGAGGCATCGTAAAGGAGGGAATTTTAATAGATCCGTCGAGCTAATCGTACACTTCGAGAGACGAATGTGCACTTTTGGAGAGAGATGAACGTGAGCTGTGACTCACGCGCCGCCTGATGTGAGTGCCGCTCTCCTGTTGTGTGCTTTGTGGGGTGGCTGGCGGGGTTCCACCCCTCGAGATGGTGCTGTCGACTGTCGAGTCACCAACATGACAGTACTTACATACCCACTTGTTATCGGTCTTGTACCGACTGCGTGGCGCGTGATCCTCGGGTGGGCCCATGTGGCCGTGTTGTCACTGCGGCCCCAGCCCGGCCTCAGCCGTCCTCGCCCTGGCCGGCCGTGACTGAGGGCGTCACGTGACGGAGCGCGTGATCAGACACACGTGCGGCACCGCAGGACACCCGTC